CGGCTGCGCACGGCGGAGCAGGAAGCAATCTGGGGCGGAATGGGAGCGGTGCGGAGGCGACAGCCCCCAGAGGACCCGTTCCCGCCGCCGCCTCCCTCCCAGCGCCGCCAGCCGGCTTAATTGCGGAGTCCGGATTGATTGGGAATGCAAATGGCAACTGAAATGCAATCTCCACTCCCAGCAGGAGCGAGGGGGAGGGGAGGGAAGGCGTCGGGAGAACGGGACACGAGGCGGGAAAGGGCTTGGACCGGCCGAGGGCAGAGGGAAGTGGGGGGCGGGGGGAGGGGGCAAGGCCTGGCTGCCGTGCTGGGGGAAGCCCCTACCCGAGCGGCAGGCACGCCCCCAAACGCCTCGTGTGACATGGGCTTCAGCGTCAGCACTGGCGGCGCTACCTGCCTCGGCCAGCAGGGCGCCCCGGCCCAGAAGGACTGTGCTCTGCTCCTAAGGGCCGTATCCATCCTACTAACAGACCCCGCGGTTAAGGAGCCTGTAATACCCTGGCGACCTAGCTGACTACCACCCCCACCTGGAGGGACCAGAGCCCAGGTGCCAGTGCACAGGGCTTCCACCCCCACCCACAGCTCCTGCTTCCCCTGCATGTGGGGACTCGGAACACACATCAGCTGGCCGCCTCTACCAGGTACAGGAAGGGGGCATTGGGGCTCTGCTCATCTCACAGCGAGCACCCCGGAAAAGACACTTATTAAAGGCGCACATACTCAGAGCACCTGTCCTCCAGACGGGCCTGACAGTCCTGTGAGCACTTCCCCCCCTGGGAAGAGCCCTCCAAGGAGGCGCTCGCTTTACACAGTCCCAGAGACAGGCAGTCGCACCTCAACAGGTTTGTGGGGGCTGATTCCGCACCCAGAGCCACACTGCATGGGGAGGCAGCCGGCTGCCGCCCCTCCACTCGGCCTTTCCCCTGGCACCCTATGCACGGACCCAGCAGAGCCCACCCTGCCAGACACGAGGGCAGTGACGTCTCAGGAAAGGGCTGAAGCAGAAACACAGGACGTGGAGCCACGTGGAGTCCCCATCCTAACCCCTGGGATCCTGACACACTCCCCAGGTTCTCACTGCGGGCTCAGAACCCTCAACCTTTAACACGTGAATTCTGGTCACGCTGCCCAAGGGCCCCAGGAGCCCCGCTTGGAGGGCCGACCTGACCACAGGGCCCCGGCCTAGCGGAGCTCTGGTGCTGTGGCCACACCAATCTGGCCTTGGTCAACACCTGACAACACGACCCCTGTACACGTGGCATCTCTAAACACCGGCTCCCAGAGGTCTCTGCCAAGCCCAGCATCCCATGTGTACAGCGGACTGACTACTGGGCCACTGGCCCCGCCCTCGTGGGCACCTAAGCCTGCAAGCTCTTGCCCATGCTCTAGCGGGCCACCTCCTCGCTCTACCCGTCCGCACTGCCCAGCACACGGCCGTCTCTGCACAAGGGTCCCCTCTGTCATTCAATGTCTTCCAGCACGGGAACCCACAGAGGGGCCCTGGGAAGATCCGAGCTTCCCGCGGGGCTGTATGACTCAAAGTTGGGGAGAGCCTAGGAGGCAGCACCTCCACTAAGTTCCTCCTTTACAAATGAATGGAGGCTCAGATAGGCAAGACGGGCCCCACTGAACCTAGGGGAAGACCGACCGCAGTCTGCCTTTCAACGCATACTCTTCGGGGTACTCTTTTGTGAACTGGTTTTTCTTTTTTTATCATTTATTACTACTTATGGCTACAGCACCTGGTCTTCCTAGGTGGTCTCCCATCCAAGTACTAACCAGGCCCGACCCTGCTTAGCTTCCGAGATCAGACGTTGGGCTTGTTCAGGGTGGCATGGCCGTAGACTATGGACCGTGACTCCACTGGGGCACGAACCCAGGACCTTCTGCATGTAAAGCAAATGTGCTGACCGCTACACTATGAAACCATGTCCACTGTCTTCCCTTTCTGAGAGAAGAGCAGGTAGGCCAGACTCAGCCCTCTGGCGGACACAGCAGGTCTCCCCTCCAGGTCGTCCGGCTCCAGAACCAGCAGCAGGAGAGCTACTGAGGACGGCCGGCGGCTCTCTGCTGCCCCCCGGTGGCGGCAAGGAGGTACAGGCAGAGCCCCGGGACCCGATGCTCAGCCTGCGCAGGTCCAGGCTGCCTGAACCCATGGGCCACCTTTCCCAGAGGTCCGTCCTTGTTAGCAGAATCTCGGGCTTGGCAGGAGGGGTGCCCGCCTCTTACACCACACCCCCTGTCACGGAGGCGTGGAAAAGAACCCTCCTCTAGCGTTTCCTGGGCTGTGGCTCCTCTCGGGGTGCAGAGGGAGGGAGGGAGGGAGTGCTGACCTGTTTAATGGGGATGGCCCGGCCACTCCCGATACTGTCCACCTTGCACTCGGCGGCCTTTTTCTCCCGGTCCAAGTCAGCACCCTTTCGAGACTGGAAGAGAAAAAGAAGAGGCGGGTTAAAGGGGCTCAGAGTCG